TTTTTTTTTTTTTTTGAGACAGAATCGCACTCTGTCTCCCAGGTGGGAGTGCAGTGGTGTGATCTCGGCTCACTGCAACCTCTGCCTCCTGGGTTCTAGCAATTCTTCTGCCTCAGCCTCCCGAGTAGCTGGGATTACAGGTGCGTGCCACCACGCCTGGCTAATTTTTAAATTTTTAGAAGAGACAGGGTTTCACCATGTTGGCCAGACTGGTCTCAAACTCCTGACCTCAGGTGATCCGCCCACCTTGGCCTCCCAAAGTGCTGGGATTATAGGTATGAGCCACCATGTCTGGCTGACTTTTTAAAAAAAATTTTTTAGATTAGCTCTTTATTTTTTGATGAAAATATATTTCTCTACTCAGGAGACTGAGGCAGGAGAATCTCTTGAACCCAGGAGGTGGAGGTTGCAGTGAGCCAAGATTGTGCCACTGCACTCCAGCCTGGGTAACAGAGTGAGTACTCCACTTCAAAATAAAAAATCAAAAAGCAAAAAATTCCTGCAGGATATTGGGTTCCACGCCATATCTACCAACTCACTTTTTCCTTTTCTTTCTCCTCTTGGTGGCAGCTTCAGAATCTCTGTGGGCTCAAGGATCCAAGGGATTCTTATACATACTAATGTTTGAGATTCACTCTTCTTTTTATCCCTGTTTTATGATGAGGGTAATGAGACACAAAACAAAACTTAAGGTCACAGCTAGCAAACGGTGGGGTTGGGATTGGATGTGCTCTTAAAGCTGAGGTGTAGAGGAGCGTCCAGCAATCCACCTGTAACTTACATGTAGAATGAGAAGCAGGCAAGTTCTCTCTAGAATGTTGGAGTTAAAGGGTGTCCCATTTGCCATTAACATGTAACATGGGACTTAAGTGGTTCGAAGCTACATTGTTGGTTATGGGTTTCATTCTCATTTTCAGCCTGTCGCTTTTTTCTGTTTATTTTTAGCAGAAACTTGGAAACTGTGGGTGCTGTTGCCTTGGACTGCAAAGGGAATATGGCCTACGCAACCTCTACAGGGGGTCTCGTTAATAAAATGGTCGGCCGCGTTGGGGACTCACCGTGTGTAGGTAGGACCAAGGGATGACTCCTTCCCCTTCTCCTTTCCGCCATCCTCAGGCTCTCCTCATTCCCTATTCCCTGCCGCCCTCTCCCTTTCTTGCTGCGTTCCCTTTCTGCTCTTGGTGCAGCTCCAGGATGCCTGGGAGTGAAATGGGGTTGGAAGGGGCTGTTCGGGGCCCTGCTTTGAGAGGGTGTTTGTGTCGGTGGCACTGTTTTTCTAGAACGCGTGCCTTTTTGGAACAACTTGGGGAGAGAAGTGGAGACAGGGATGCTAAAGTTGCCCCCAGTCTACCCGATAGTGATTCTGCCTTCTCCTTAGCCGCAGTTTCAGGATCTGCAGACTTACTTGAGTGAGACTTACTCCCCAGACATGGGCTCTAATTAGCAATCTGAGAAATCTGCGAGTTTAAGACTGCGGTTATTAGATTTGACCAGTATGAAAGCGACAGACTTCTACAGTCATATTACAGATTGAGATGCTTTTTACATCAACAGGGAAGCGCATCCTCTCATTCCTGCGAGTGAGAGACAGGGCCAGGGTTGTATGTTTCACTTTGTGCAAACTTTCACACTTTTCATGCAGGAGTCCTCGTGAACCCCTGCAGTGACTGGAGTTTTGAGAAACAGCTAAATTATTCCATCTGCCCCAAAGAGCAACTTATTCTTTTAGAGGAAATCTAGCCCTCCATTCCCTTTTTAATGTGTTGCTCTAGTCTTTAGTAATAATCTACACTCTTGACAGTTCTTGATACCCCTTTTCTGTCATGAACTCAGAGACACTGGAAGCTTCCTTCAAGAGAAGAGGCTTGGTAACACACCTCTCCTCCTTGGTAGATCACCCAAGAGATAGGAAGTAGTCTACCTTTCATTCTCCTTAGCAAAAATCCTACCAAACTATCCCTGGTCAGTAGTGCAGCTTGCTTCAGCTGGGTTCAGACCAGACCGTGGGGCCACTGCAGGTTAGATCCTAGAAATTAATTTTAAACTTCATTTACAGTGGTAAATCTGGACAAGAAAAGGCATAAGCTAAATTCTCAGAAGTCCTTGTCTAGCTGTGAGCACCAGGTGTGCTTTGCCTGGCCTTCTGAGCAGCCTTAGGCCCCCGGCTGGACAGTCAAGAGGGACGGTGCTAGGCACAGCAATGGTCACTCAGGCAATCCACTTGTCCTGAGAAGTGCATGTGGTGGGGAGGACAGCTTCACAGACCCGAAGCCTGTGCCAGGACCACCCTTGGAGGCGCCTGGCCTTCTGTGGTCCTAGAGTAACTGAAAAGCAAGCAAAGACTTGGCTGCTTCCAAATATTAGGGCAGATTGACACCCTGGAACCTGGCCCATTTATTCCCCAGTAGAAGCTTATAAGAAAAAGGAAAGGCTCCTCCTCCCACTGTAGCAGTTCACTCACTGCCCAGTGTCATCTCCCTCCAGAGCCAGAGCCAGGGATGAACCTCTGGGGCCTTGTGACAATTCAGTACAACATCCCAACTCCTAAGTCCTTGCCCCATGTCCAGCATCCATAAGTAAGGCAAATGTCAGTCATCTCTGCTTCTGTATCAACTGCAGGAGAGTAAAGGTGAATCCTTCCAAGGCTAAAGGACTCTCAGGCTGGTAGCTGTGTGTGAACAGATAGAGGAATGACTTAGAGAAGGCTGTAAGGTTGCTTGATCCTAGAACCAAATAAGGAAGAATCTTATCAAAGTAGCTTTCGCTGCAGACCCCTACTTAAGTGTATAGCCCAGAATAGTTCCCTCAGGTCCAGTCATGCCCACCCTCAACAAATAGATCTGCCTTCCATTGGACAGTATGCACGGATGTTAGGTTGTGGGTATCCGTTTTCCCATAATCACTGGAACGTGATGGCATTGCTAGAGATCCATGTAATGTAGTCATGCTGTTTCTCCTCCATAGTGTGTGGGGCATGAGGAGGAGGCAGGGAGGGGGAGCTTCATTGAGGAGAAAGGAGTGGCTATGCTTCGGGGCCAAGGAGGCGCTGTCCTGCTGTAGCTGCTGTGGGAAGGTCAGGCCTGCCCTCCTGAGGCTCCCTTTATCCTCCTCCATTCTGGGGCATCTACATGGCGCTTTCTAGTCCACCTTAGTGTCTACAGATCATGGCTGCTAACCTGACCTTTGTCTATACTTGAGCGTGCTTCGCGATTTAACTTTCACATAGCGTCCGACTTCTAATGTGGATTTGAATTTCTCAACTGTGAATGCTCAGAACAATCACCCTTTTTGAGCAGGATCCGGAGGTTATGCTGACAGTAACATCGGAGCCATCTCAACCACAGGGCACGGGGAAAGCATCCTGAAGGTGAACCTGGCCAGACTCACTCTGTACCACATGGAACAAGGTACACAGACCACAGGACAAGTCAAATAATTTGTGAAGACAAATGCTTAGAAGGTATTTGATAAGTAAACGCATGGAGACGTGTAGGAAACCCTTTCCTGTTGGCTACAGATGTTGCTTTCATGTTGTTAACACTGTGTTTTGACTCCACCTTCCCTTAGGTCTGGAGTGGGAGAGCACTGAGTACTGTTATCTTCCACATCTCAGGAGAAGGGGGCAGTGGAGAGACATTGAGCCTGAGTGAGGGAGGGAAGACGCCTCTGCTTGGGCTGATGCTAGGGTGCTGTCTCAGGGCAAGGAGGGGAGGACCCTTCTTTGAAGCATTCAGGTGTTCGTTTACCACAAATCCTTCCTAGTTCACTTTGGCATTTCTAACTGCAAGTGATTTTTCATGAGATTCTGTTCAGTAATGTGTATTCTTTCTCAACCCTTCCTTGTTTTCAGGAAAGACGGTAGAAGAGGCTGCGGACCTATCGTTGGGTTATATGAAGTCAAGAGTCAAAGGTTTAGGTGGCCTCATCTTGGTTAGCAAGACAGGAGACTGGGTGGCAAAGTGGACCACCACCTCCATGCCCTGGGCAGCTGCCAAGGACGGCAAGGTGCACTTCGGAATTGATCCTGGTGAAACTACTATCAAAGACCTGGCCTAAGCCCCTGGAAGATTGTGTTCCAGATGCTAGCTTAGAGGAGGAGTACTGTCTCCTCATGAGACACAGCCTAATCAATTATATCTAGAAATGGAAACAGATTGTGCAGCCTATCACTTGCTTTGTTGCCTTAATAATCATCTGAACGTTTGATTGAGGGGTGGGTTCTGAAGTCACGAGAGACATGCCCGTATTAGGAGGATTGCTTGAGCCTGGGAGGTCAAAGCTGAGGTGAGCCATGGGTACTCCACTGTATGCCAGCCTGGGTGCACAAGAACATCAGGGAAAAGAACCAAAATCCTTTAAGGGAAATGTTCTCCATGTATGAGAGACTAAACTGATTTTCCTAAGGAAGTTCAGATCTTCCCTGACTTATCTGGATGTGTCCAGATACTTCCAAAGGACCCAGATACTTCCAGAGAAACCATAGCTCCCTAACCTGGAGATGGAAGGTCATAATGGAGATGCTGTGGGATTCCGTGAAGTTTCTTGGGTTCAGAGATGAGCCTCCCTCCATCAATGTTCTCCCATGAGCCAGACTCCACCTGCCAAAGACCCTCTGGTCCTCATCTAGTGAGTGGCGGTGCTCACAGTCTCTCCAACAACAGAGAGGAGCCGACTGCTGTAGGGCTGACCCCATGACTTCCTGCGTCCTCACCCTGTTTTGTGCTTTGAGATTCTTCCCACCTCCCCATCCCCACCAGCTGGATCAGGCACTGTGCAGCGTGGTCAGCATGGTGAAGAAAGTCATTTCCTTGGGGACGGTATTCCCCTTTATCTCTTGTTACACTGGAAACGCGATTCTGCTGTGATATTCATGCTCAGTTTTTTAGTCTCTCAGGGTTCACCTTCTCTCTGGAAAGAAATTGCCTAACTTTACATTCCATGTGCTGCTAATAAAATGTATTTTGAAAGAGTAAGAGTGTGGTTGGGAGTCACTGTTGACAAAGACCAGAATGCACATGAGCTCTCCCCTTGGTCTCAATTCTGACGTACCAGAGAGACCTTGAGATGGGGGTGGTGTGGGGGGTGGTACCTGCCCCCTTGTGGAAGACTTGAGTTTTTCACAAGAACCGAACTTCTGAGTGGGTTAAGGAAGAAGCCAAACCATGTTAGGGTTTATGGCTCAGTCCTCCTGCAGTTTGCCAATATTCACCCCAGACAGAGGTGCACGGTTCTGGCTCCTGTCCCCAGACCCTCCTTGGGGCTGTGTCAGCTGCTCCAGACCAGAGAGAAAGAGAGGGCACTTAGAGGCAGAACTGAGTTTGAATCCTGCTTCTCACTACCTGGGTGACCCTGGGCAAATTAACTTTTAAGAATGTTTCACCTGTAAAGTAGATTACTATGATGATGAAAGAAAGGTAAAGAAAAACTGCAGTTCTCAGTGTTTTACTTTAAGGATCTTATGGACAAATACAAAAACTGTGGCTAGGCCCAGGATGGAGTTTCTGTCCTTAAAAACCTCGACATGCAACAACTGCCCCTTTAGGAACAAGGATTTTGTTAGCAGGTGTATTAGCTGAGGATTGCCACAACACGAGTCCACAGACGAAGTGGCTTAACCAACAGAAATGTATTAATATTTTCTCCGTTCTGGAGGCTGAAAGTCCGAGATCAAGGCATGGCCGCGTTGGTTTCTCCCGAGGCCTCTCTCCGTGGCTTGTGTAATAGCTGGCCATCTTCCTGCTGGGTCCTCACGTGGTCTTTCCTCTGTACATGCACA